TAAAAGACCCGCCGGGGATCGTTGTGGGCTGCTCTATGCGCTGTATGCTCCAAACAGACCAGATTTTACGACGGCCGCGCCACAAGAGCTCCAAAGATGAGCTTCTCCATGAGACAGCGTCGAAGCCGTTTGTTGAACTTAGGTCCGTGATGCAGGAGAAATTCAAATCCATTCTCGTTTTATACGACCTTTCTTGCTCATGCCGAGGCAGCGTTAGCAACCCAGTAGTCGCTTCTGGCACTGCGAGACCACACAGCAGGCACAGGAGTGTAAGTGGCGCGCGGGTCGTATACTCATGTCTTCGCACATCTAAGCACGCTTCACTGTCGCGCTCCAGGAACCCACTTGAGCTCGCACGACCTGCACGACACAACGCATCGCCCTTATTCCCCCTCTGGGCTCAGCATGCACCCATTTCCCCCGGTTCTCCATAAGAAGCACTTCAAAGCCCTTCGCCAGTTGTGACACCCGGGCCATAGCACAGGGTTCTGGTAACCGCCATGGCCTGGACCCCATCTTCATCTCTTCTTCTTCTCCTCCCCCTCCCTGTCCCACCAGCCCAGGAGAGGCTGCGGCATGGGGTTGTTGTTGCTCCCTCGGTGGTGCCGCTACGCCCTTATCTCGCTACCTGGGGAAGGTGGGGCACGCTGCCCTGCCCCTATTGAAAGCAGGCGGGCTCCTGAATGCTGAACCGTCAGACGTCCAGACGTGAGACATAAACTTACAATACCAGAGGACCTAAAGAGTTTAGACGTCTATGAATCCAAATCTCTGAAACCAACTACTCCTGAGCAGAGCTTTGAGTCTGAAATGACGACATACTTGCAGATTTTACACTTTAAGAATCATGTCCCAGACATAACGGGATGTATCACTCAACCCGCTAGATAATACAGATTGCTGCCTGCTGATAAAGATGACTTGATGTGATTCAATCCGAGCGCTAGCTTTGCTCTACAGCTACGTGCTGTCAAATCGATGCGCTCCTGGTTTTACGTCCTGCTTGACGGTCGTCATTTAGCACCGAATCTGTTCTGCACCTGAGGACCTGTGAAGGCTCCTAGCTTGGATCTCAGACTTGCTTCCCAGAGGAACTTGACACCTGATGGAACTCGACTGACTGCTGCCTCCTTCAGGAAGGAACCAGAGACTGTAAACTACCTATAACACTACGTAACATCACTGGTAGATTTTTTGCTATTGCACTAAGTGGAGTTTTGGTATTAGCTTTTTTTTTATGTTTTAGAAAGGAGGTTATTTTACTGTTTGTTTTGTTGTACTGTGAGAGAAAAGACTGTCACTTTTACTGAGAAGGAAAACCCAAAAGCTGGATTAGATTTTCTCTCCTGTTGTGTCTACTACTACTTCGAGGAAATTGTGCAATGCATGACCCAGTTGAATGCTTTCTACTGTACTAGTGTCCTTTCTTTGCTCCCTAAAAGTCTGACCTCTCCAGACTGACTGAAAGACTGATCGACAAAGAGCGGATGCCGAATCTTCAAGCGTAACTCCTCATGCTGCCCTTGCTCTGTTTATATTCTGTATCAGTGAACCCGCTCGTCTCCTGACTACTGTTGTAAACATTGGTAGACTAATCATGCCATTATTGTGCACTCCTCTGTGGCTAGTGGTAGCATAATTAGTGAGTGGACACTGTATATTTCTCACTGTCCTACACTGAAACACGTTGACCTTATGTGTTCACACGTCATGAGGATGGTGCATGTATACACTCAAATATTTTTGTCTGTCTGTATACAGTTTGTAGTTATGGGCACACAACCATTGTAGCATATGTTTGTGTGTGTGTGTGTGTGGTATGTAGTTACCTTACACGTAAGGGAAATGCTGACATTCAGCACTCATTGTTGATGTTCAAAACAAAACCTGTGCTACTACTGAAGTCGAACACTTACTGTCGTCAGCCCTTTTTTGTGACTCCTTCGTTTACCCCTCTAGAGGTTATTTACTGTACAAATATCTTTTTCCTATTTATATCTGATCAGCTATAAATCAACACTCATTCGACTTAGGTTTTATATTGATGTTCCTTCTCTCAAATCGAACTGCCATGCATGCATCTTCTGTGTACTGTATGGAGTGTTTGAAATATTTATTTACAAAATCATATTTTATCTGAAAGATATGTTTGTATGAGGTACAAAAGGGAGCTTTAAGCTCATGCGGGTATGATTTTTTTTCCTACGTGTGGGAGGACGTGTGTGTGCATGCCAAACAAGAAATTGCACATTTTTAAAGCTTTTTAGATGAAGACCGTAGTTGTTTTTTTTCCACTTTGTAAATACTTTTACAGCCTTTGTGATGTTGTTTTGAGTTGATGCTCTGTACAAGTTGGTGTCAAAGTAAAAGACATGAAAATTATTCCTTGGCTATTCATTTTGTTTTTCAACCCATCTAACTACAAGTCCTGTGTTTAGCCTTTGCACCAACCTACCTTTTATTAACACTACTGTACCAAACTATTTTGTTGGTATCCATTTTCTTGCTTAGGATAAACTAATGTCTGGCATAGCTCTAAAAGATTGTGCCAAAATCTAAAGATCAAGGTTTTAAATGAAAGAGTGCAAATTCAACATAATCTAAAAGAATGTATCAACTTTTGAAATTCAATAGTTTATTTTTACCAAAACAATTTTCATAGTTAAGCACCAGGACTCATGAAGGGACACAAATGACAGCCTTTGAGGGAAGTTGCTTCAAATAAAACAACCAAAGCAGAGATTAATCTACTCGCTGGCAGGAGAATAAATTAATCTCTTCAAGTCCGTTACTGGAGGCAACTTCCATTTGTGACATGTACAGATACTACACATCTGCCAAGTGCCATCAGATCTACATGAGGAATGGGTGATTCCAGATCAGAGGCAGCTCAGACAATGTATTTGAAGCTGTAGGTGGCGTCACAGGACAGCCTCATGCCTTTGCAGCGACAACACAGGTCCTGGCGGTGAGGCCTCTTCATGTTAATGTGCCTCAGCTTCTTCTCACAGCTGCAGCAAGTCTGAGAGCAACCCTGCCACAGAAGGGAGGAGATGTAAATAGAAGAAGCAAGATTAAAAAAAAGCAAGCAGTCAGAGGATGCTAAAATATTCTCCAAGCACATATGGCTATAAATGTTGGTACACGAACCACATTGAGAGTTCAATACCAAACCCAATTAATAAAATATCGTGCTACATTTCCTCTTGTAGCAAGACAAGTAAATGTACCTTGCAGAGGATGGACTCCACTCTGTAGGGGTTAAACCCCACCTGACACTTCCGGCAGAGCTGCTTGTAGTACACCTGACAAGATTAAAGAATATTCTGAATTCTTATTATGAATGCACATTTTGCCAAACGTAGATTGCAGCATAAACAACAGAGCACTTACTTTACTGGTTCCAGAGATGCACCACACATAAGCACTCTCCCACCGGATGTTGCACTTTTTGCAGTGGAAAAAGCCATACCTCTGCTCCAGGAACTAAAATAAAAACAGACATTTTTAGTTTTTTTAAAAGACATTTATAGCTACCTATAATATACTATATTCTATCCATTCATTTATGGTACTGCTGTTATTTTTATTCTTCTGTGTATTCAATCTTAGCTTATTTTAATCCATTTATTTTAACCATAAATCCTGTTTCTTTTGCATCTTGTATTTTCCATATCCATTTTTTTTTTATCTTATTCAAAGCAGTTTGAATTGCCTTGTTGTTGAAAGGTGCCATAATAAGAAACCTCCCTTATCTTGTGCTAAAAATAAGGAAAATACATTCAGAAATGGAAAAAAAAAAAAAAATGCACCACTAAAGCGCAATATGAACAAACATGATAATGGCCTTAAGGTGGGTCTACCTGATGTTGAAGCCCTGCGTCAGATCGAATTTGAATACTTTCATTATTTCAGTTTTGTGCTTCTATGCTGCAAATTTCCAAGTTAATGCATTTAAATCAAATTATTAGCATTTCTAGGCCTCTGTAGTATTACAGTGTATGCCATGCACAGAGTTGGGAGAAAGGGGGACATGATAGGGGGCCAGCAGCTCATTTTTTCTCCCCCTAGCAAGTTAATCCATACCATAAAGATTCACTAAAGACCGAAATCCCACCGAATACTGAGACTTTACTCTTAATAATTATCCTAATTGAATAATAAAATGAACAATCACAGTGGAAATGTGTGAATCCAGTGAGAGTTTATTCTCTTCAGGGGTGTCCTGACACAGAAACCCACCTGGAAGTTTGACCCCTTTGAAGACCGGTGAAAGGTCGCCTTGACGTCCCCCTCTGTGTCCTCAGCATCCTTGTCGGACTCGGCTTGCTCGACGCCCTCAGCCTCTCCTTCACTTTCCCCCTCTTCGTCGCAGAGCTTCCTCAGGTGGATCCTGCGGTCAAACACCGGCGAGTAGATGGAAACGGGCCGCAGGAAGCGCAGGGTGCTCACCGGCGGTGTGTGGCACGGCGCCTTCCACTCCTGCTTCAACAGATCCGGACTCTTCGGGCTCTTCGGGCTCTCCGGGGACTCATGCTGGTCGCCCTCCGAGCAGAACAGCGTCTTGGGACCCAGCGAGCACTGGACCATTTTATCCACTTTGGCGTTCACTTGCACGCCGCACTCTTTGGTGTTTGCCTTCTTGAGTGGAGGGGCTAAACTGGGGTTGACCTGAGATATGATGGCCTTGCAGAGCTCCAGGTAGTTGAGGCCCTGGGGGGTGATGAAGCGGCCCTCTCTCTTACCCCAACTGCCGTCCTGAGCTGGGAGAGCGCAGACATTGTACTGTGGAAAGGTGGACAGGAACCCCTCCATCCTGGAGCCATGAAACCGGTCTAAATTCTTCCTGCTGGGATTTAACCAGTCCTCGCTGCACTAATTGGATGATTGAGAACAGGGCGTGCAGGCTCTGATTGAGCTGCCACAGGAATATTTAGCATTCAGGTTTTAAAGATGCATGTAATATTGTGTTCACGTAGAGTCAACCATGCACACAGGTACACAAACAATCTCAGGAATATTACACAGTCGGAGGAATAATTCTACATTTTGTGAGGCTTCTTAAAAAGTTTAAAATGTTCATTTAGTGTTAAGATTTAATAATAACTGCATTTCCTATATACTGTAATTTCAAATAATTAGATTTAATTCAAATTATTTTATTCTGATGTTCACTGTTGAGGTCTGGGTTATTTAAATGCAATGTTTGTTGGTTATATTTTAATCCCCAGCCTGACATAATGTTAAATTCACTGATATCCAAGCTTTCATTCAGCAGCAAAAGTCCACTGTTAAAAACTGAGGCAATGTGCCCATTAATCTGTAGGTTTGTACAAAATGTTCTTTCAAGTTAACCTTTTTAACCTTTTACTCTGGGGTTGGGCTAAATGTGAATGTATTTTCTGCAGCATGGGGCTTTATTCAAAGAGTGCACATCTGAAACATTATATTGGAGCTCCCCCTGTAGCTCATAGTGGCCAGAGACCCATCACAGAAAGCTACGGCAAGCAGCTGCTCTTTAAGGACAGATATTCCTTTCAGATTGATGTTCTGTGAACCAGCATGGCAAGACCTTTGTAGTACTTTTAAACCATGTGGATTGTTCAGGAAATCAGCAATTAGCTCCACGAAAGGACAAGTGTAACCAAAGTTAAAGCACCTGTAATGTAAATAAGGAACAGATGTCCTTGCATGGAGAAGTATCATATAAATGAATTTAGCAGGACAAAGAAAGGGGAAAATGAATGACTTTATAGTAGCCTAAAATGTATTTGAGAAATAGGGCACATGAATAGATGCACACTGACATGATAAAATATGAATAGCACTGTTGAGAAGCAGCTAAATGGATTGCACAGATACATAAATGTCACCCTAATGAGAACATTGTGTTTACTGCGACCCTGTCTCATTCATGAGATCATCTTCACACACAATCAAACACAGTCTGTTGGTGCGTTCATGTGCTGTCAGGATACTGGGGTTCAATTTATAGTGAAAAAACAGAAGCCAATTCAGTGTGGCACATTGTGATGCAAAATGTGCTTGTTTGGCATTTTCTGTAAACAGTAGCATGTCCCTATTTACTTGCTTCATGCACATTTTTACACAAATAATTCAAACATGAATTAAACAGAAACATGAAAGATTTTCTGCTCCCATTTTTCCAGCACAATAATCTGTCAGTAAGGCAACTAATATTTTATTAGGCTTTTTTTATTTAAAGATATCAAACGGGTAATAGGTTACAATACAATTAGGCCTATTAATACATTCTGAGTGAATAATCTTGTGTAAACAAACCCAGCTTTACAATATAAATGTATCCATTCTCTTTCATATATTTTAAATGCAAATATTATCAGTGTTAGTATAATATTTTCAGAGAAAACAACCTAATACGCTACAGCTACTGTCCACTAAGTAAACACCGTGTTTGGACATTCAATAACCTTCTAAAAAAAAAAAAAAAAGTACAATCCGAGCACAATGTGAAGGAGCAGCAGACCTCCATAGACTCGCCCTATAGGTGGCGCTACACACCCAGTGATGGTTTGTACCCATGGGCACTGAATCCATACATATTGGCGCCATTTTGGAGCTAGGAGGGGGAAGAGAGCTGCAGAGGAGGACACGATTGATCACAATTCACCGTATCAGGTAAGAAAATGCACAAAAAAGCAAATCCTTTCGATCGAAACGCAGCAATATTTCGCAGGCGCTGCTGTGGGAACCGACGTGTAGCCCAGGATGGACCCGCGGAGGAGCCAGGTTTCCAGCGTTTAATAGCCGGAGCGCAGCCCGCCTTGCTCGCCTCTGTTCTCGGCTGCCGTGTCCGACTCACAGCGCTGGTTGACCTGGTCCTGCGGCGCAAAACGGTTAGCTGCTGAAACACTAGCACACAGGCTCGGCTCCACGTCCCAGCAACCAGAGCTAATAATAACTCCACTTGGTTGTAAGAGCGGGGTCCGGGGTATTGGTGACGATATAACGGGAGTTAGCCGGGTGTTTTGTTCAGTGTAACGTTGCTGCCCGCCCGCCCTCTGTCACTGAGATTGCTGCTGCTAACGTTAGCTCGCTTACGTTAGCCACCGTGGCTGCTAGCGGGATGTGCATACCAGCTAACTAGATTAGCCGCGGTCAACGTTACAGCAACAAGGCAGTCTGGCTGTACACGGTCCCTTGGCCTTGACATGCTGTTTGTACCATAACAAAAAAAAACACACAGTGCTGTTCGTGGAAATGCGCCGCTTTCTTTCCACTAACTTAACCTTAACTCACATGAGCTTAAATGTGAGAATTGTTTTAAAATCCAGCGCTGATAGTAATCGCCTGGTAATGTATTTTCGCCCCGACTCTCGTTATTATGAGTATTTGTAACGTCACCAGGCGCACTGCTCTTTTTTAAATTATTATTATTAATGATGAGACGTCTCGCAGTGTAAATGGTGTATTTAGTGGTTGATCGTTTGCAGACTCGATGAATTAACCAGCTATTAGAGGAATGTTGTACTTTTATTAATGAGCACAGCTGGTTTTGCTGCACACGCATTGTTACTATTAAACCAACAAAGGAGTAGCGGTCACAGGCACTTAGATGTTCATAAAATTGGACACTGCCTGTTATTTTATAAAGTGTGGCCGGTCACCTCCAGAGTGCTGCAGTGCTTTTGTTTTGACAGCTATCAGCCTGGGATTATTGAGTCGTGTCACTATCAACACTGCAGATTGGCTCTGAAATATCAGATTTTGTTGCATGTAATGAGGATTTAGGTTATTAGAAAGTTGCTTCAGTGCGTTGCTAGACGACTTTGTTGGAATTGAATGTATTGATTTTATGGTAGCATTGCCAAATAAAATTCTTAAGCCTGCACACACATTTACTTGTTTACTATGTTTTTTTTTTTTTTTT